CCAGTCCAGGTTGGATGCATGAGACAAGTGCTCGGGGCTGGTGCACTGGGATGACCCAGAGGGATGGGATGGGGAGGGAGGTGGGAGGGGGGTTCAGGATGGGGAACACATGTAAATCCATGGCTGATTCATGTCAATGTATGGCAAAAACCACTACAATATTGTAAAGTAATTAGCCTCCAAGTAATAAAAATAAATGGAAAAAAAAAGAATAAAGGGAGAGAGTGAGGACTAGGGAATGCACAGGGACACACTGGAAAGAAATGATGCTCTTATGTATACCTTTGGCAAGTAGGTCAATGAGTTGCGTACATTCCAAAAAGAGAACTAAATCAACAAGGATAAGAAGAGGAAATGAAAACTGTAAGCAAATGAAATGAACCTACTGAAGGGTTAAAAAAAACAACAGTGATCCCAATTAGTCATAAACACAGTGTTTGAAACATACCCTCAATCTTAGGCAAGAGTATGGGGGACAGACAGAAACCAAATCACTAAATATTTTTAATAGGCTTTTCTCTTGGTACATGGTAAGTAATTCTGTAACAGGGGTGGAAGCCTGCAGGACTGGAGCAAATATATAAATCTGCTGATGTTTTAAGAGTCAGGTTTAACACCATGGAAGAAACACACGAAATGAAGGAAGGCAAACAGACCTGAGAGACTAAAACTAAAGGTGTCTGATAGTCCTCATGATTTCTTGAATATAGGTATGCAGGAACATATGCATATTTATGTGCACATGCACACATATGTATGTGTCTATGAATATATGTACATGTGTATAAAAACTAAGGAGTATGGATCCAAGTTAAAATACTATGTGTATTGGGTGGTTTGATTCATTGATGGAGGAGGTAATTTTGTTTAACTTAGTAACAATGGCACCTGTAAGATCCATCAATATAGATCCTTCCTACTTTTACTCAGGCCTCTAGGCTTTCATAAATAAATATAACTAGACATTAGACAAGGTCTCTATGTCTCCAGCAGGGACCTGAGGACATACCCTTACAGAATTCCAAGTAAGGAGGGGAAAAATTGCATTTCTTGGGCCTTTTGGATACTGGTGAACAAATTTCTGTGATTCCCATACCCATTATAGAAGGATGAGGAGGAAACAGATAATTCTGTATAGTTTTATTTCACCACCACAACTCTTTTCCAGACACAACTATGAGTAAACACACTTTGGACCTCTACAAACCCCAATTATTGAGGTTTCTACTACTGAATACATTATGGTTAAAAATGTACTTTTTATATCTACCAGCACAACCCCCACCCCACCCTCGCCATGAGATTTACTGAGGTTAGGGTATTTTAATGGAGTATGTTAAAGATTATGACCAACCAAGCTATTGTCAACTAGCACCTCAGTATACCAAAAATAAAGTTACCAGCCTTGGGGAAAAAAAGGAGCAACCACCCTCACTGTTGAGCTTTCATAGGCCAACACTATCTGTAAATTATTTCTCCGTTCAGTAACTCCACATGGCCTGTGTATAAGAACTTTGATGCCCAGACTCTAAATTGATTAGGGCTGCACAAAGCATTAGAGCTGTCTCTGGCACCAGTGGTACCTGACATTGTGACACTCAGAGAGAATATCATTCAAGATAAAGAATCTTGGTATACTGCAGCTGACATCACAGATGCCCTTCTCAGCATCACTCTCCACGTGGATGATCAGGACTAGTCTGATATATGCAGTATGGGTTATAGTGCACCACCAAGATCTTCCCATGAGACTCTCTAAATTCTCTATCTGTAATCAATGCATAGGTTAAGACTTGGGAAAAGTCCTGCTCCCGGAGGGAGTGCTAGCCTTCCACTTTTTCAATGAAATCACCCTAGTGGGCTCAGACAAGGGCACTACCCAAAAAGAACAGGATGTTCTATTTGCTTACAAGTAGGATGCAACTAGGCCGTTATTAACAAGGTATAAGGACTCAAAACTGAAGTAAAATTCCTGAGCATGATCTGTAAGGGGCAACGTCCAGAGAAAATGACTGTCATGCTTTTGATTGACCCTCTCTGCCTCCAAAATAAAAATCATCAGAGTAACTGGTGGGACTACACAAACACAGCCTCACTCTCACAGGATCACCTAGCACTCATCAGGTTCCCACGAAACCCCTGTTTGCTTGGGGCCTTGATGGGCAGGACCTGCTGGAAGCCCTTCAGCTGACTGCCCTATGTACCCTTTTCATGGAGCCCTCTGATTTCTAAGCACTGTTTCAGTTAGAAACCTCAGTAACATCTCTCTTTGCGTATGGCAATCTATGGCCACTACTACACCTCAAAGTCATTCACTGGGCTTTGAGTCCATAATCTGCCAGAGTTGGCTAAAAAGTATATATTCTCTATGAGGTCTATTATTGGTGTTGGTGAATAAGAAGAGCATGACCATGGTTATATAATAATCCTAGGATAAGAAATTGCAACCAAAACATATAATACATTTGCTTTTGTTCTATAGTTTTGTCAGGGTTATCACATTTTATGTCAAAGTTTTAAATTTCCACAAGATATTTGTCAAACACATATTTATGAACCAAATAAAGCTCTTCTGACATATTTAACTTAAAACTATAGAAGATTATTGCTAATTATCATACTTACTCTTGAGTCTTTCTCCTATGGAAGTTCTTTGTTTCTTTACTTGTGCTTGTTTCTTTAACTCTGAATCTTCATATTCAAGTACAAGATTTCCACTTGGCACTTTATCAGGAGCTATATAAACAGATAAATTAAGTCTCTTAATAGGAAAAATTTCGACTGTAAAAATTCTAGATTTTAAACTCAGAAACATTTTCTCTCATTTTTATAAAGTCTTAAGTAAATTATCATAACACTAGATCTGATATGAAAACTTACAGAGTATTTTTAATGGATATTTATTGAAGCTGTCTCTTTGTTTTATAAATATTCTCAGGTATCAATATGTTTATATTAGATTCTAATGTTCATAAATTAGTTATGTTTTAGGATAATATATATGTACACACCAACCAATGAAAATACTTGTGCATAAGGTTGGTCATTATAGCATTATTTGTAACCACAAGATATTCAAAATCATCTAAGTGTTCAAACAATAGTATAGTACCTTCCACAATACATGTAAATCAAATCATTATGCTGTATATCTTAAACTTACACAATGGTACATGTCAAATATATCTCAATAAAACTGGAAAAATTAACATAGTACCAATTATAGTATATGATGATATATGTATATAAATTGTAGTATACATGGTGTACAGGTGATGTGATGTGATGAGTGCAAATATCTGTACCCGGAATGAGACATTCCCCTCCCCTATTATCAATACATCAGATGCTTACCAGATGTCATGGGAAAAATAAAGACTGGTGGGAACACCAGTAAAACTCGTGCCCTTTCATGGTTAGACTCCTATTTAATTATTGCAGTAAGTGAATAAAGGCTTTTTACTTTCAATTTGGTTCACTGTCTTTACAGCTCAGCTTCACAACTGGTATCTCTCTTCTAGTGACAAATGGTGGCAAGCAGGGTGGCCCAATTAGGCACAATGTCTTTCTGGAAAAGTAAAAAACATGAAGATCCCCCAGGGCATTTTGGAGGGATACTAGAGAGGACTACAAGGCCTGTTGGGGAGTACTAGCTGGTCAATTGCAAGAGTCTGAGGTCCAACAATGCACTTTGCTAGCCACAGCTATGAGTCTCAAGAAGTGCTGCAACAGGAATGCCTGGGGTCACTATTGGAGAGGGCTAGCAGAGTGTTTATGCAAGCTTCCTGGGCTAGAGGGGTAATGAAGGTCCTTCTCTTTAGCCCCAGAATCCCTGCCAAAATGCCTGGTGGATCAAATTAGTGATTTAACAGAGGTACTCTGGGAAATTTATGGAAGCAATCCCTAGGTACTCCTTGTCCTCTGATGACAGTATTAAAAATTGTCACATCCTCTGCAAGCTAAGTTGCACCCAACAGTTGTCGATTTTAATGAGGTCCCCATTCTGGTGGGCTACAGTCCATGGGGTTGCAAAGAGTCAGACATAACTGAGCGACTAGGCATAGCACACAGCACCAACAACAATGGAGAACCTACAATATAGCAAGTTACTGAGACTCATGATTAAATTAAACAAATATAAAATGCTTTGAGATTACACTGTCCATGATATAAAGAGACCTTAGAGACTTGGGTTGTTCACTTGCATGATGAAGTAGGAATCTTTTTTACCCTACTTTTTTTTTCTTCAACACTTTCTACTTCTAGTCTGATAATTTTACTAACTCATAAAATTTTCAAGCAAGCGAAGTATGGAATAACCATCAGTTTCAAGGAGGTAATTTTCTTAAAGTTAGCAAGAGCAGTGTTACTGTGTGGGTAGACCTGTTTAAGAGTGTCTTGAGAGCAGAAAATTTGATCAAGGAGGCTAAGAGGAAAATCTACATCCTTCTTCCTCATGTGGGAACTATTTGGACTCTGACAGCTTTGGCCCAACAGTGATGGGCTCCCTATGACCAAAACACATGTTTAGACCCAGCTTTGAGAGGACAGCATTTCTGCAAACTATACTGGTGGTCCCGATTCTATAAGGAGAGAGTGACAGTGATAGATAATGAGATTGTTATTAATAACAAGACTGTAGGTTAATTAGTGCCATTCCTGCTGGTTATCTAGCTCAAATAAACCTCCTCGGAAAGTTAGATCCATTTGTCAGTGACATAATCCAGATGTTAACCGACAAATTCCTGGGCAGGGTAAATGTAACTACGGCCAAAATAACAAAGAGAGATCATCACAGAAAGTGACATTAAAATGGTAACTGGGCACATGTAACTGGAGGATCTGGTAGGTTTCCAAATAAACCTCTGGGTCTTGTTAAACAATGGGAGTGCAAAAGAAGAGATCAATGGGTTCTCCACTTAGAAACTAGTAACTCATGTCCTTTCAAGCTCTGGGAGATGGTGAAGGACAGGGAAGCCTGGCATGCTACAGTTCATGGGGTCCTTTAGAGGCCAAATGGCAACCCTCCCTAAGGTCTGCCTGGTAATGATTCCTACAACTAATAGAAGCGCTGTTCCTTCTCCTTCTCCCAGGATATTCTAAAATGAATCATTGAGTCCTACCAATTTTTACATAAACTTTTTAGATTTAAAAAAAAAAAACAAGACTATGAAATGTCCTATGCACAAAGTGAGGAAATGAGGTCCTGTGAAAGGATCAAAGTTCAAAGTACACATGGGGAAGAACTGGATATCTTGGACTTTTGGGATAATGATGCACAGCTGACTATGACCCCCAAAATCTCTGGGATGAGAATGAGGAGAAATGGATAAGGCTCTGATTTCCTGTCAGAAGCCACCACCACCAAGGCCCCTACCAAGCTTGACTACAGATATAACATATCATTATTGTGGCACTACTAATGAATGGATTATTATTAGAGATATATTGTTGATATGCATACCTGACAGCATCTAATTCAAGCCATAAAAAAATTACTGTAGTTAAGACAAATTTAGTGGGACATATGGAAGATAGCAAACCTACCAAACTACCAGCTAGAAGTTTTGTCCCTCAAAAAGAGCGTTAACAGACTCATCAATTAAAAACAAACAAAAACAACAAGAAAACTACCACTATTGCTGTGCTTAGGAAGCCCAGGTTCATTATCTGAGCTTCCCAAAAAGGCCTTGGGTACTTGGAAACTCAGTCCTCAGTCACTCAACAGTGTAGTACAATGTTTGGAAACACCATTACCTGATGACACTGTGACGGTCATAGAGGCTCTTGCCCAAGTTCAGAAAGATAGGTGTGAATCAATTCTTATTGCAAATGCCCTTTTCAGCATCCCTGTCCACACAGATGTTCAGGATCTGTTTGCCTTTTCTGTAATACTTATCAATACTCCTTTAATGTCCTTCCACAAGGCCATGACCAGGAAATCTCACTCCCAGATGGAGGACTAGCCTTCCGCAGAGTAAGGAATGTCTCCTAGTTGGTCCAGGCAGGGTACTACCCAACCAACGCTGGATGCCATTTTGACCCATATGTAGCAACATGTCTAGGACATTACCAGGACAAGAAACAAGGACCCAAGACTCATGGGAACTTCCTGACTGGGAAGGGAGAGTAGGTCTCTCTCGGGAGGCAAAAATTGCCTGAGTTTTAGTCACGCTCAGGCTCTCAGCCCCTACAAATACAAAGGATGCCCGATGACTGGTGGGACTGTTCAGATACTGGTACTCACACATCCCCCTACATGGCCATCTTGATGACAGCCCCCAGCAACCAGGTTATCAAAAAGACCTGCATGCTGACTAGGGCCTGGAGACTCTTTAAATGGCTACACAGGAAACCTTTTCCTTGACCCCTTGAATCCACTGGCTTTTAAGTTACAGGTCTCTCTGATGTCTACTGGAGCCTGTGGCAAAAGAACACAGTCACACATCTGAGGCGCCCACCCAGCTATGGACCCCTAATCTCTTACTGATGGCTGCAAATATAGAATCTTTTTGAAAGATTACTGAGCAGTTTCTGGACCTTGGTGGTCACTAACCAAGAAGTGTCTCTACAATGGAGCCTTATAACAAGAAATATCAAGCAAATGTTAAATGGTTCCTGTTCTCTAATTTTTTATATTATTCACATTTGAAGTGCAAAATTGCTATATGTGCTCAAACACATATTCATGAACTAAAGAAAAAAGATCAGGTCAGATTAATTTTTTAAAAAAATTAAAGGCATCTATAACTGTTGTACTTACTACTTTGTCCTCCTCCTCTGGAAGTTATCTGTTTCTGTAATTGCACTGGGAGTTTTGACACTGAATCTTGATGCTGAAGCACAGGAGCATTGTCAGGCACATCATCAGGAGCTACACAAAATAGATTCATTAAATTCCTTCATAGATGTCAGTTCAGCTCAGTCACTCATTTGTGTCCGACTCTTTGCTACCCCATGGACTGCAGCATGCCAGGCCTCCCTGTCCATCACCAACTCCTGGAGTTTACCCAAACTCATCTCCATTGAGTCGGTGATGCCATCCAACCATCTCATCCTCTGTTATCTGCTTCTCCTCCCGCCTTCAATCTTTCCCAGGATCAGGATCTTTTCCATGAATAAGCTCTTCGCATCAGGTGGCCAAAGTATTGGAGTTTCAGCTTCAACATCAGTCCTTCCAATGAACAATCAGGACTGATCTCCTTTAGGATGGACTGGTTGGATCTCCTTGCAGTCCAAGGGATCTCAAGAGTCTTCTTCAACACCACAGTTCAAAAGCATCAATTCTTCGGCACTCAGCTTTTTTATAGTCCAGCTCTCACATCCATACATGACCACTGGAAAAACCATAGCCTTGACTAGATGGACCTTTGTTGGCAAAGTAATGTCTCTGCTTTTTAATATGCTGTCTAGGCTGGTCATAACTTTCCCTCCAAGGAGTAACTGATGTACTTCTTTTCCTATTTGGAACCAGTCTGTTGTTCCATGTCCAGTTCTAACTGTTGCTTCCTGACCTGCATACAGGTTTCTCAAGAGGCAGGTCAGGTGGTCTGGTATTCCCATCTCTTTCAGAATTTTCCACAGTTTATTGTGATCCACACAGTCAAAGGCTTTGGCATAGTCAATAAAGCAGAAATAGATGTTTTTCTGGAACTCTCTTGCTTTTTCGATGATCCAGCGGATGTTGGCAATTTGATCTCTGGTTCCTCTGCCTTTTCTAAAACCAGCTTGAACATCTGGAAGTTCACGGTTCACGTATTGCTGAAGCCTGGCTTGGAGAATTTTGAGCATTACTTTACTAGCGTGTGAGATGAGTGCAATTGTGCGGTAGTTTGAGCATTCTTTGGCATTGCCTTTCTTTGGGATTGGAATGAAAACTGACCTTTTCCAGTCCTGTGGCCACTGCTGAGTTTTCCAAATTTGCTGGCATATTGAGTGCAGCACTTTCACAGCATCATCTTTTAGGATTTGAAATAGCTCAACTGGAATTCCATCACCTCCACTAGCTTTGTTCGTAGTGATGCTTCCTAAGGCCCACTTGACTTCACATTCCAGGATGTCTGGCTCTAGGTGAGTGATCACACCATCGTGATTATCTGGGTCATGAAGATCTTTTTTGTACAGTTCTTCTGTGTATTCTTGCCACCTCTTCTTAATATCTTCTGCTTCTGTTAGGTCCATACCATTTCTGTCCTTTATTGAGCCCATCTTTGCATGAAATGTTCCCTTGGTATCTCTAATTTTCTTGAAGAGATCTCTAGTCTTTCCCATTCTATTGTTTTCCTCTATTTCTTTGAACTGATCACTGAGGAAGGCTTTCTTATCACCCTTGCTATTCTTTGACACTCTGCATTCAAATGGGTATATCTTTCCTTTTCTCCTTTGCTTTTGGCTTCTCTTCTTTTCACAGCTATTTGTAAGGCCTCCTCAGACAGCCATTTTGCTATTTTGCATTTCTTTTTCTTGGGGATGGTCTTGATCCCTGTCTGCTGTACAATATTATGAACCTCCATCCATAGTTCATCAGGCACTCTGTCTATCAGATCTCATCCCTTCAATCTATTTCTTACTTCTACTGTATAATTGTAAGAGATTTGATTTAGGTCATACATGAATGGTCTAGTGGTTTTCCCTACTTTCTTCAATTTAAGTCTGAATTTGTCAATAAACAGTTCATGATCTGAGCCACAGTCAGCTCCCGGTCTTGTTTTTGCTGACTGTATAGAGCTTCTCCATCTTTGGCTGCAAAGAATATAATCAGTCTGATTTTGGTGTTGACCATCTGGTGATGTCCATGTGTAGAGTCTTCTCTTGTGTTGTTAGAAGAGGGTGTTTGCTATGACCAGATCTACAATAAAATCTCTAGGTTTCATACTTACAGTAAGTATACAGTGAATTTTTCTCTCATTTAGATAAAGTTAAGTAAATCAGGCTTCCCTGGCAGCTCAGCTGATAAAGAATCCTCCTGCAGTGCAGAAGACCCCAGTTTGATTCCTGGATTGGCAAGATCCACTGGAGAAGGGATAGGCTACCCATTTCAGTAATCTTGTGCTTTCCTTGTGGATCAGCTGGTAAAGAATCTGCCTGTGATGTGGGAGACCTGGGTTCGATCCCTAGGTTGGGAAGATCCCCTGGAGAAGGGAACGACTACCCACTGCAGTATTCTGACCTGGAGACCATGGGGTCACAAAGAGCTGGACATGACTGAGCGACTTTTACTTTCACTTTGGGACTTCCCCAGTGGCTCAGTGGAAAAGAATCTGCCTGAGATGCAGGAGATGCCGGTTCGATTCCTGGGTGAGGAAGATCCCCTAAAGAAGGAAATGGTACCCTACACCAGGATTCTTGCCTGGAAAATTCCATGGGTGGAGGAATCTGGCAGGCTATAGTCCACAGGATCGCAAAGAGTCTGACACAACTGAAGCAACTGAGCACACATAAGTAAATTACCATAAATAACATGTGACTAGAAATTGTGAGAACATTTTTAATGAATATACTTTAAAGAAGCTGTAACAAACAATGTAATATACATACATACATAGAAACATCCATATACAAAGTCTCTATTTTTCCTAGGTTATTTATACTTTGTGTGTATATCCAGTTGCTTAGTCCTGTTCAACTCTTTGGGACCCCATGGACTGTAGCCTGCCAGGCTCCTCTGTCCATGGAATTTTCAGGCAAAGATACTGGAGTAGGTGGCCATTTCCAATTCCAGGAGATCTTCTTGACTCAGAGCTTGAACCCGTGTCTCTTACGTCTCCTGCACTGGCAGGTGGATTCTTTACCCCTGCACCTCCTAGGAAGTCCTGTTTATACTTCAGACTTATACAAATTCATAGAACTAAAAATACAAATGAGCATGTACATGGTTACTGAATACAACATATTTGTAAGTGCAAAATATTCAAAACCATATACATTTTAAAGCAAAGAGCATTGGTTCAATAAACCAGGGTACATGCTATCCACTATGGAGTAATACAAATGATGATAAATACTGTGGCACAGCTATATGCAGTGCTATAATCTGAGTGAAATGAATCTCTATATACTGATTTAAAGGGATTTCTTAGAGGGATCATCAGGAACAATGTTAAGTTTAAAAAAACTAAAAAAAGGAAAACTAGTATGGATAAGAAAAAAGAAATGAGAAAAAACAAGGATGGAGAGAAAAAACACAGGGAACACAGGAAACCTATCACAAAACACTGTACATGGTTACCTACAAGATGAGAGGGAAAACTGAGGAAGGAATAATAAGCTTCTAAGCATAGCTCTTTACATACTTTTTAACTTTTGGAAGTAGGTTCATGCTCTATGTATTTCAAAACATAATTAAACCAGTAAGGGTAAGAAGATCAAATATAAAGAGAAAGCAAACTTATGAAATGAAACAACTGAAGGCAAAATAGAAGTGGTAACTTCTCAATATAGTATTTAACATAAACCCTCACTCTTGGACATGGGATTGAGATGAGAATGGGCAAGGAGAATAACAGCAAGTCACGAAATATTTTTAAAATTTGGTTTGTTTATCAAGTGGTGTGCAAAGCTATTCTGAAGCCATTTGAGAATCATTACAGGATTGAGCAAACAAGTAATTGTGGTAAAACTGTTCCATAACTCTAGTTACATGAGCACTTATGTCCTTCATATAGCCATCAAATTGCTCAGGTATCAGTAATCAGTGCACAGGTCATGACTTTGAAGCACCTGCTCCCACAGAGAGGACTAGTGGGCCAAGACAAGGACTAGATGCCCTGTGGAACCGCTAGTGGCTCTTGGCTGGGCCATTAGTATACCCAGTTAATGACCTGGTAACCTAGTGAAGCTCCTGGGCATGATCTCTAAGGGGTATGACTTCTCATTCCAGAGCATAGGAATGCCAACTATTCAACTCCAACAAATAAAACAGGCCCGGCAAACAGTGGGACTCTTTGACCACCTGCATTCTCATTTGCCCATGTGGAGCTCTTAATGACTCTGATCTCTGGGGTTACCAGAAAAGCTGCATCCTTTTAGTGAGGACACAGCTAAGGCCCTAAAGGCCCTCCAACAGGGCCTCCAGAACCCACCAGATGCTTGATTTACAGATCTCAGAAATACTGCTTTGGCAAAGGAATCTATGGTAAAATGCCTCTGCCATGCATAGAAGCATCTGTTGGGCTTCTGTATCCATAATTACCTGGAGCTGGCTGAAAGGCACTCTACTTTGGAGAGACAGTTATTCACCTGCTATTGGGCCTTGGGGCATTCATCTTCTAATCACAAAATAGTCTTAAGAACAGAAATTCCAATCAAAGTTTAACAATATTTCTGCTTTTTTTCTCTAGATATCTCATGGTAGTCACACTTTAGTCAAAGTATAACATTTCTATAAAATACATGTTCAAAAATATATAATATGAACCAAAATAAAAACATCTTCTAGTGAATTTAATATAAAATAATGAAAGGTTTTCCATAGTTTTTGTACTTACCAGTAAGTCTTTCCCCTTTGTGTAAGCTTGGTTTCCTCACTTGAATCTCTGATTTTGTCACTGAGTCTTCATGATCAAGAATACGGTTTCTATCTGGTACTTCATCCTGAGCTGCATAAAGAGAAGAATTTGGCTCACTAAATAAAAAACTTCATTTTTATGAAATTATAAGAACATCACCAAATGCCAGGTTGTACAAGAAAACTGGGAAGAATGTTATCAAGGGTGCATGGAAGGCATTTTAGCACATCATTAATAGTCTTAGACTTCTAATATGTTTTATATTAGTCTCTCATTTTCTGAGTTTTCCAAATATTTCAGGTAATACATATTGAAACACCAAACAATGAAAATACACATGTACAAATTATTCATTAACAGCAAAATAGTCAAAACCACTTAAGCATAGGAGACTGGTAGGCTAAAGTAATGCATGTAGACTAAGAAAATACAGACTATGGGATATAATGTGGCATACACAGCTGTACAAACAGGTATAAAAGGAATGAAGAAGACCCAACAAGCTGACTCGGAAGCATTTCTAGGATTTAATTCTTAACAGGCAACAAACAACCTGACACAGAACATGTAGTATCTTATAAGCAGGCAAGCAGGAAGGCAGGAGGAAGGAAGAAATGAAGAAAAGGGACTTGAAAAAAGTGGTAAAGGTATTAATATTTTAAAAAGGAAATATAGGAAATAAAAATCAAAAACTAATATAGTGGGTCAATTAGTCGCTGCAGACATGGCTGATTGAGTTGTACCCAGTGACTGCTATTTGCTCTCAGCTTATCTCTGACACTGATGGATACTCCAAGATATACTGAGGTTTTGAGGATCATGTCTAAAGAAAAAGAATCCAGGTTTTTCAGTTCCACCTGACCAGCAACCAGAGGAAACCATATAGACTCCACTGTAGAGGAGCTACTCTTGTTAACTTAGTGTGGGACACAGGCACCTTGCTGGCTGTGTCTTAACAGAACGCCTGGTTCTGAGTTTCCTAACAGGGGCCACTGTGTCCAAGGAGGACAAGGGAGGGGATGAGGAAGAAAAGACACAAACACCTGAGACAATCTCCTTCCTCTCCTGACTGTTTCTGAAAACTTCTGTCCAGTCATGGTGAGCTCCCTGCCACTGGAGACACTGTCTATTTACCCAGCAATGGAGGCTCAAGGAAGGGATGGATGGACTCTCCACCACTCATCTTGTGCCAGAAAGCGAACCATGGAGGCCAAAACAGCCTCATGAGAATCAAAACAGTGATGATGCTTAGTACTAATAATGCGATATTCCCTCTGCTCCCCTACACGGGCAGTGATCCTAAGATGAATTCCACAACTCTGCCTATTTTTACCTAGAGTACTTGACTTTTCAAAATAAACATGATTAGGGATTAGACCATTATCCTTATATCCCCAGTGGCATCTGATGATGTACGTCAAATCAGAGTTCAAAGTGGCAGTGGGGGAAGATTGCATACCTTAGGCCATTTGGCTTCTACTTTACCAATGACTGTTATCTCCACAACTCTGACACCAGGATGAGAAGAACACAGTAATGTTTTTTGACCCTTACTTACACCTGACCATAGTGCAGGAGCCTATTATAAACCTCTATTTCACAGCTCCCACTACTGAATACATCATTAGTGCAGATGCATTTTCTATGTGAACTCCAACTCACATCAACCCCAAGCCGTGATGAGCACTGCTGCACTCCGGGTCATTTTAGTGGGGCATATGGAAGACTGCAAACCTACCAGACTACCAGTGCCTACAGACTTCTATTCAGAACAACTATTAGGAAAAGAAAAAGGAATGCCTTCCCTGTTTGATGAGTTTAAGTGAACCAAACATCTCTGTGAAATTATTTCTCCATTCAGTAACTAAGTAAACCTATACAACTGGCCTTGCATGCCTGGACAGGACTACAGGACTACTTACTATGGCTTAATGCTATGGTACAGATCAGGACAGTGGCCTTAACTGACACTGTGACTGCCATAGAGGCTCTTGCCCAAGCTAAGGGAAACAGGTATGAAGGAATTCATATTGTAAATGCCCATTTGGGCAATCCTGTCCACACAGATGATCAGGATCTGTCTGCCTTTTCTGTAATACATTTCAATACTCCTTTAATGTCCTTCAACAAGGCCATGGGCTGCAAGTCTCATTCCACACAGAGCATTAGCCTCCCGCCTATAAAGAATGTCTCCTACTTGGTCCAGGCAAGGATACTACCCAACCAGGACTGGATGCCATTTTGATCCACATGTAGCAACGTGTCTAGCACATTACTATGGACAAGGCAAAAGGACCCATGACTCAGGAAATTCCTGGGAATAAACTGGGAAGCGACAGTGGGTATCTCTTCAGAGGCAATAATTGCTAAGTTTTAGTCATGCTCAGGCTCTCAGCCCCAACAATACAAAAGATGCCCAGTGACTGGTGGGACTGTTCAGACACTGGTCCTCACACATCCCCCTACATGGCCATCCTGATGACAGCACCCACCAATCAGATTACCAAAAAGACCTGTATGCTGAGTGGGGTCTGATTATAGGAGGCCCTGGAGGTCCTCCAACTGGCTACACAGGAAACCTTCTTACTTGCCCTCCTGAATCCACTGCCTTTTAAGTTATAGGTCTCATCAACCTCTCTGATGCCTCTTGGAGCCTGTGGCAAAATAACACAGCCACACATCAGAGATGCCCACCCCTGGCTTTTGGACCCCAATCTCCTATTGCTGACTAAAAGTGTAGAATCCATTGGAAAAACTAAGTAGTTACCGGGCCTTGGTGGACACTGAGTGCAAAGTCTCTCTACGATGGAGTCTTATAACAATAAATAACAACCAAATGTTAAATGGTTCCTGTTCTCCAGTTGTTTTATATTACTCACGTGCATGCATGTTAAGTCGCTTTAGTCATGTCCGATTCTTTGTGAACCCATGGATTGTAGCCCACCAGACTCCTCTGTCCATGGGATTTCCCAGGCCAGAATACTCGAGTGGGTTTCCATTTCTTACTCTAGGGGATCTTCCTGATCCAGGGATTGAACCCAGGTCTCTCCTGCATTGGCAGGTGGATTCTTCCTCACTAGTGCCACATGGCTATCATTCACATTTAGATCACTATCCTTGTAGCTCACCTGGTAATCAGTCTGCCCGCATTGCAGGAGACCTGGGTTCAATCCCTGGATTGAGAAGATTCCCTGGAGAAGAGAAAGGCTACCCACTCCAGTATTCTGGCCTGGAGAATTCCTTGAACTGTATAGTCCCTGGGGTTGCGAAGAGTCGGACATGACTGAGCAACTTTCACAGTCACATTTACATCAAAGTGACACTATGAATTTTATGCTCAAACCAGGTGGCACAGTGGTAAAGAATCTGCCTGCCAGTGCAGGAGGAATAAGAGATGTGGGCTTAATCCTTGGGCTGGAAAGGTCCCCTGGAGTAGGAAATGGCTACGCATTCCAGTGTTCCTGCCTGGAGAATTCCATGGGCAGATGAGCCTGGCAGTTGGGCTATAGTCTGTGAGGACTGAGCAAACACACAAACACAAGCAAGCATATGCTCAAACACACATTTTTGAACTAAATAGAAAAATCTAATGAGATTAATTTTTTTTTAAATTTAAAGGCATCTCTAACTGTTGTTATAGGTGGCTCAGAGGTTAAAGCGTCTGCCTGTAATGCGGGAGACCTGGGTTCGATCCCCGGCTTGGGAAGATTCCCTGGAGAAGGAAATGGCAACCTACTCCAGTATTCTTGCCTGGAGAATCCCATGGATGGAGGAGCCTGGTGGGCTACAGTCCACGGGGTCGCAAAGAGTCGGACACGACTGAGCGACTTCACTTCACATAACTGTTGTACTTACTACTGTGCTTTTCTCCTCTGGGAGTTATCTGTTTCTGTACTTGCACTGGGAGTTTTGACACTGAATCTTGATGTTGAAGCACAGGAGTATGGTCAGGCACATCATTATCAGAAGCCACACAAAAGAGATTCCCTAAGTTCCTTCCTGGATACACAGATCATATTTGTGAGTGTAAAATATTCAGAAGTGTATAAAATTTAAAGCAAAGAAGATTAAATAAACCATAATTACACACAATATATATATTGTGTGTATATAATGTATATACAATGTATGGTAAACAATGTGTACAAACAGCTGTACCATGCTATAATCTGAGTGAAACCCATCACTAGATATTGACATGGAGGGATTTCTGGATATAATGTTAACTTAGGAAAAAAACTGAAAACGGGAAAGCTAGTATGGGAACTTTGGGTAAAGAATAAGAAGAAATGAGAAAAAACATGGAGAGAGAGGGAAAAAAAATAGAGAAAACACAGGAAAGCTATCACCAAATAATGTACATGGGTATCTACAAAAGGAGAGGAAGACTGAGGAAAGAACAATAAACCTCTAAAAGCACTGTTTTATGTACTATTTAACTCTTGATGAAGACAACTCTATGTATTTCTAAATATAATTAAACCAATAAAGACAAGAATATGGAATGGAAAGAGAAAGTAAATGTAATAAAACAAAACTGCTGAAGGAAAAATAAAAGGAGTAACACATGGTTACAGTAATTAATATAAACCCTCACAGCTGGACACGAGAGTGAGGTGGGTGGGGGAAAACTGACCATAGTCAAGTCATGAAATCAATTTCAAACTTGGCTGTTGTCCTAGTGGTATGTACAAAGTTATTCTGAAACCATGTGTGAAGCAGTACAGAATGAGTACTGTAATGCTACCTGAGCCCTGGGATCCATGAAATGGCAGGAGCCTTTTGTTTGGGGTCCCTTCAGCTGGGAGACCACCCCTCACCTCAGTCTGCACTGATGTGTCGGCCCCTTGGCAGGGGCTCCTCCATGGTGTGAAAGGGAACACAGTGGAGCTGGTTCTGATCTATAGCCTACACTCTGAGGGTAAGTGAATAATGGTTCACTGTAACCTTGAGTTCAGTTGCTATGTTAATAGATGTATTCAGAAACTGGCATTTCCTTTTTCTCATTATGAAGTTAGTATGAGGAGCAGTGTGGTCAATGAAGCCCAGCCCTTTTGTGGAGGGAACATGGTGGGAAGTACCAATGAGCATGCACAGCATCATGGGGAGGGAGCTACTACCAGATTACTTGCAAGATACAGAAAGGGGACTTGGCCAATGAGGCTCATGAGCTTCCTAAACTACTAGGGGATACCATGTGGCTCTCAAGAGTACCTACTGCACTGTTTACAAAAGGTCTGATTAAACTGGAGTTGATTTCAGTTGAGTTCAGTTCAGTTGCTCAGTCATGTCCGACTCTTTGCGACCACATGGACTGCAGCACACCAGGCCTCCCTGTCCATCACCAACTCCCAGAGTTTACCCAAACTCATGTCCTTTGAGTTAGTGATGCCATCCAACCATCTCATCCTCTGTCATCCCCTTTTCCTCTCGCCTTCAATCTTTCCCAGGATCAGGGTCTTTTCAAATAAGTCAGCTCTTCGCATCAGGTGGCCAAAGTATTGGAGTTTCAGCTTCAACATCAGTTCTTTCAATGAATATTCAGGACTGATTTCCTTTAGGATGGACTGGTTGGATCTCCTTGCAGTCCAAGAGACTCTCAAGAGTCTTCTCCAACATACAGGGTGACAATATACAGCCTTGACAAACTCCTTTTCCTGTATGGAACCAGTCTGCTGTTTCATGTTCATTGGCTTCCTGACCTGCATATAAATTTCTCAAGAGTTGATTTAGTACCATAATACTATGTTGTGATAGTCACTCAGTCCCTCTGACTCTTTGTGACCCCACAGAGTATAGTTCATGGAATTCTCCAGGTCAGAATACTGGAGTGGGTAAGCTGTTCCCTTCTCCAGGGGATCTTCCCAAGCCAGGGATCTAACCCAGGTATCCTGCATTGGAGGTGGATTCTTTACCAGCTGAGCCACCAAGGAAGCCCAAGAATACTGGAGTGGTTAGCCTACTCTTTCTCCAGTGGATCTTCCCAACCTAAGGATCAAACCGGGCTCTCCTGCATTGCAGGTGGATTCTTTACCAGCTGAGCTAGTTTTAGGTACACAGCATAGTGATTTACTATTTTTTCAGGCTATAATCCATTATAGTTTATTACAAGATAATGGGTATAATTCTTTGTGCTCTATAGTATATCCTTGCTGCTTACCTATTTTATACACAGTAGTTTGTATTGGTTCATCTCACCACAGCTGTCCTTCCCATCTTTCATCTCCCTTTCGATAGCCACAAGTTAGTGTTCTATATCTGTGAGTTTTGTTTCTACTTTTTTTTCATTTATTTTTATTAGTTGGAGGCTAATTACTTTACAATATTGTAGTGGTTTTTGTCATACATTGACATGAATTAGCCATGGATTTACATGTATTCCCNAGATAGGAAAAGAAGAAGTGAAACTCTCGCTGTTTGCAGATGACATGATCCTCTACATAGAAAACCCTAAAGACTCTACCAGAAGATTACTAGAGCTAATCAACAAAAATAGTAAAGTTGCAGGATATAAAATTAACACACAGAAATCCCTTGTTTCTACTTTGTAAACACATTAATTTTATTATTTTTGAGATTAAAGATATAAGTGATATTATACACTATATGTCCTTCTCTCTCTAATTTGTCTCACTATAAAATACTCTCTGGAATCCATCCATGTAATTGCAAATGTCAGTGCTGCACTCCTTTTCATGGCTGAGTAACATTCCATTGTATACTTCATCTTAATCCCGTCATCTGTGCCTAATTCCTTGCATAAATTTTTGAGTTCTGAAGGAGAACAACTGTCTTTGTCCTTGGCCTTTGATTCACCTAACAAGATGCTGAATGACTCAGATGAAAGACTCAAAACACAGGCTCTGAAAAACTAGAGAAGGAATTTTACAGCTACTGATGGGTCCAAAAACTTTGGAGGCCCTGCATGCTGAATTGCACCCCAGAATTGCACTGACTACTCTAGCATGCCCTGGAACCAACAGATAGCCTATGAGGCAGTGAGTTGTTGAGATTCACACTTTAATGAAAAAAGAAAGCAGAGTCCTAAGGATTGTTTTCCCTAGCTACTCAGAGAGACTTTGCTGACTAAGGTAGTATGCCTCTGTGAAAAATAAGTCATTTTGTTAAACTAGGTGAGGGAGAGGATACATTGAGGGCTTGTCACTGTAGAACCCACTGTGTGATGTGCCAGTCCCTTCTTGCCCAATGAGGTAGAGGAAAAGGGGGATCAGAGACATGAACACCTGAGACTTTCCCCTCCTTGGTTGAGTGCACATCTGGCTCCAACAGAAGAGCCCTTACATTGGAATTTCCCTTGCCTTGAAAAACACACTTGGATCATCACTTGCAGAGGTTCTTAAAGGCTCTATGAGCCCACACTGCTGATCTCTAAAGTCATGGGTGGAGAAAGGACAGTAAAAATATTTCTGATCCAACTCAGATTTCTATTTAGTTTTCGTCAGGTCAACTTTACGGGTTTTTAAGCTCAATTAAACCTGCTTATAAGATGATGTCTATTAGTGCATAGCACAATGCAGATCCTGACTGACACAGTTTAAGACACAGGAAAAGTAGCTACCAACGAAACAGTACTAACTGACCACTTAGCAGACCTAAAAATGCTAATGGGCGCCCACCCCTGGATGATCTGGTTAAAGAGTTTCCAAAGAAATCTCTAGGCCTAGTTCCTAACCACTGGGGCCTCAAGGAGAACATTAACAGGAGTTTTACCAAAGAGCTCCTAGCCAAGTGGTGGGCCATGTGTCCCAGCACACTTCCTCACTAAAGTCCAAATTGTGATGGCACCTGTAACTAATATTGATACAAATGCTCCTCCCTCTGCTCCAAGTGACACTGACGTGAGTCAGAGAAGCCTCCATTACTTTCATTCAAACCTCCCAGCTTTAAACCATAAGCAACATGAAGGGTTAGGTCAATATTCCAACATCATCAGTGGTTATCTGAGCATGTGTGCCAAAGTCAGAACTCAAAGTAGGGAGCAGGGATATTGTATTTCTAGAGTCATTCGGTGACTGATGCAGAGGTGACCATGATCTCCATGACCTTCCATGGCACAAGGGCCCTGTCATAGGTAGAGGCATCCATTGGGCTTCTGTTCCCATAATTACCTGAAGCTGGCTGAAAGGCACACAAATTCCAGAGAGACAGTTATTCACCTGCTATTGTCCTTGGGGCATTCATCTGCTGGTCATCACCAAATAATCTTTAAGAATAGAATTTTCAACCTAAGGTATCAATATTTCTGCTTTTTTCTCTAAATAGCTCATGGTATTTACTGTTTAGTCAAAGTGTATTATTTCTATAAAGTATACCTCAAAGATACATAATCATGAAATAAAAGAAAAACATCTTCTAATGAGCTTAATTTATAATAATTAAAACTTTTCTGTAGTTTTTATTGTTCTTCAGTTCCTAAGTCATGTCCAACTCTTAGCAATCCCATGGACTGCAGCACACCAGGGTCCTCTGTCCTCTAATATTACCCAGAGTTGATCAAACTCGTGCCCATTGAGTCGGTGATGCTATCTAACTATACTTACCAGTAAGTGTTTCCGCTTTGTGAAAACTTGGTTTCTTCACTTGAATCTCTGATTTTGACCTGGAGTCTTGATGCTCAAACATAGGATTTCCATCTAGTACTTCATCCTGAGCTGCATAGAGAGAAGAATTAAGCTCACTAAATTAAAAAAAGAGAGATCTACTGAGAAATCCCTAGATTTCAAACTTAGAACAAGTGAACAGCAGCAGATTCTCCTATTGTCATGAAATTACAAGAAAATCACTATAATGTGAGATCTTATGTGAAAACTATGAGAAGAGTCTTAATGAATGTGAGGAAGGTATTTTACCACATCATTAATACTTTTAGACTTCAAATATGCTTTATAGTAGACTCTCATCTTCAGATATTTCTTAATGTTTTCGCCTAATATATAGACAGACGAAACAAAGAAAATGCATATGTGCAATGTAATGCATAGCAGCATATTTATAATTACAAAAAACTCAAAATCACTTAAACATACAAGCATAGGAGATTGGTAGCTAAAGTAACAAATGTAAACTATGAAAATACAGACTATGGGAAATAAAGGGGCACACAGTTGTACAAATACCTGTACAAACAGGTATAAAAGGAATGAAGATCCCAACAAACTGACTTGGAAGCATTTCTAGGAATTAACTCTTAATGGACCAAAAAAAAAAACCTTAAAGAGAGAATACCTAGTGTGCCATCTTTTAAGAAAAAATGAAAGGGAATTTTAAAAAATGACAAAAGAAGCTAATCTATAGAAAAGGAAATAAAGGAGGGGGCTTCCCTGGTGGCTCAGTGGTAAAGAATCTGCCTGCAGATGTAGGAGATAATGGTTCAATCCCTGATCTGGGAGCATCCCACATGCCTTGGAGCAACCAAGCCCACACATTATAACTATTAAGCCTGTGTTCTAGAGCCTATGTGCCGCAACTACTGACACCTGTGTGCCCAGGCCTATGCTCCTATGCAGCCTAAGCTCCTCAACAAGAGAAGCCACCACAATGAGAAGGCCTCACACTACAACCACAGGGTAGCCCTCACTTGTCACAACTACAGAGAAGCCCACCCAGCAGTAAAGACCCAAAACATCCAAAAATAAAATAAAATTATAAAAAAACAAATACAGGAAATATAAACCAAAAAACAACATACACCGTGTGTGTGCTTAGTTGTATCTGACTCTGGGACTCCATGGACCGCTAGGCTTTTCTGTCCATGGAATTTTCTAAGCAAGTTTAATGGAGTGGGTTGCCATTTCTTACTACAAAGGATCTTCCTGACCCATGGATGCAATGCATGTCTCCTGAGTTTCCTGTGCTAGGAGGTGGATTCTTTACCACTGTGCCAGTAGCTCACAAAAGCCACTGCAAACATGGCTGGCTCAGCCATACCCAGAGACTGCTATTTGCTCTCAGCCTATCTATGACACTGATGGATACTCCAAGATGTGGTAAATTTCTGACACTCATGTCTAATGAAAGAGAATTCAGGTTTCTCAGCTTCACTTGACCAGCAACCAGAGGAGACTATACAAACTCCACCGTAGAGGAGCTACTCTTGTTAATTTAGTGCAGGACACTGACATCTTGTTGGCTGTGTCTCAACAGAACCCCTGGTTCTGAGTTCCCTGACAGGGGACACTGTCCAAGGAGGACAAGGGAGGAGATGCAGAAAAAAAGACACAAACACCTGAGAAAATCTCCTTCTTCTTCTGGCTGATATTTATTTTCTGAATATTGTCTAGGCATGGTAAGCTCCCTGCCACTGGAAACACTGTCTAGTTACCCAGCAATGGAGGATCAAGGAAGGGATGGATGGACTCTCTACCACTCACCTTGTGCCAGAGAGTCAACCATGGAGGCCAACACATCCCCATGAGACTCAAAACATTGATGACATTTACTACTAATAACCAGCTAGCCCCTCTGCTACCCACAGTGACCTTAAGATGAATCTGACAACTCTATTTTTATCTAGAACACTTGGCTTTTCAAAATAAACAAGATGAGGGATTAGACTAACATCCTTTTGTCCCCAGCAGCATCTGATGATATAAGCCAACTCAGAATTCAAAGTGGCAATGAGGGAGCCCATCCATTGGGCCATTTGGCTTCTACTTTACCAATAACCGTTATCTCCACAACTCTGATACCATGATGAGAGGAACACAAGTAATGCTTTTTGACCCTTAATTAAACCTGACCATGGTGTGGGTGCCGTTGGGCATTATAAACCTCTATTTCATAGCCCCCACAACTAAATACATCATTAGTGCAGATGTATTTTCTGTGTGAACTCCAATTCACATCAGTCCCAGCTGTGATGAGCACTGCTGCATTCAGAGTCATTTCAGTGAGGCACATGGAAGACTGGAAACCTACCAGACTATCACTGCCTAGAGACTTATCTCAGAAACAACTACTAATGCCTGCCCTGTTTGATGAGTTTAAGCGAACCAAACATCTCTGTGAGATTCCTTCTTCATTCAACAACTAAGACAACCTGTGCATACAGCCTTACCTGCCTACAGACTTAACTATAGGCAGCTTAATGCTGTGGTACAGATCAGACACTGGCCTGATGTAATGACACTGTAACTGCCCCAGAGGCTCTTGACTCAGCTGAAGGAAATAGGTATGAAGCAATTCATATTACAAATGCTCTTTTCAGCATCCCTGTCTACAAGATGATCAGGTTCACTTTGGCTTTTCTGTAACAGATTTTACTACACCTTTAATGTTCTTGTCTGAAATGCAGTACTTAGGTATAATCTCAAAAATGACAGAATGATCTTGATTTGTTTCCAAGGCAAATCATTCAACATCACAGTAAACCAAGTCTATGCCCCCAATTCCTAATGCCAAAAAGCTGAATGGTTCTATGAAGATCTACAAGACCTTCTACAGCTAACACCAAAAAAAAAAAAAAAAAAAAGAAGTCCTTTTCATCATAGGGAATTGGAATGAAAAAGAAGGAAGTCAAAAGAAACCTGGAGTAACAGCCAAGTTTGACCTTGGAGTACAAAATGAAGCAGGGCAAAGGCTAACAGAGTTTTGCCAAGAGAACGCACTGGTCATATCAAACACCCTCTTCCAACAACACAGGAGACAATTCTACATATGGATTTCTCTAGATGGTCAATACCAAGATCAGACTGATTATATTCTCTGCAAACAAAGATGGAGAGGCTCTATACAGTCAGCAAAAACAAGACCTAGAGCTGACTAACTGTGGCTCAGATCATGAAGTCCTTATGGCAAAATTCAGACTTAAATTGAAGAAACTAGGGGAAACCACTGGGCCATTCAGATATGATCTAAATCAAATCCCTTATGATTATACAGTGGAAGAGAATAATATATATAAGGGATTAGATCTGATAGAAAGACTGCCTGAAGAACTATGGACAGAGGTTTGTAACACTGTACAGGAGGCAGTGACCAAAACTATCCAAAAAGAAAAAGAAATCAAGAAGGCAAAATGGTTGTCTGAGGAGGAATTATAAAGAGCTGAGAAAAAAAGAGATATAAAAGGCAAAGGAGAAAGGGAAAGATATATTCAAATGAATGTAGAGTTCCAGAGAATAGCAAGGAGAGATAAGAAAACTTTCTTAAACAGTGCAAAGAAATAGAGGAAAACCACAGAGTAGGAAAGACTAGAGATCTCAAGAAAATTGGAGATATCAAGGGAACATCTCATGCAAACATGGGCACAACAAAGGAGAGAAATGGCAAGGGCTTAATAGAAGCAGAAGAGATTAAGAAGAGGTGGCAAGAATACACAGAAATGTACCAAAAAGGTCTCAATGACCCAAATAGGCACAATGGTTAGTCACTTACCTAGAGTCAGATATCCTGAAATGTGAAGTCAAGTGGGCCTTAGGAAGCATTACTATGAGCAAAGCTAGTGGAGTGATGAAATTCCAGCTGAGCTATTGAAAATACTAAAAGATAATGTTGTTAAGTATGCCAACTCAATATGCCAACAAATTTGGAAAACTCAGCAATGGCCACAGGACTGAAAAAGGTCTGCTTTCACTGCAATTCCAAAGAAGGGCAATACCAAGGAATGTTCAAACTATCACACAATGGCAGTCATTTCACATGCTAGCAAGGTTATACTCAAAATCCTTCAAGCTAGGCTTCAACAGTATGTGAACCAAAAACTTCCAGATGTACAAGCAGGATTTAGAAAAGGCAGTGGAAACAGAGATCAAACTGCCAACATCCACTGGATCATAAAAGAAGCAAGGGATTTCCAGAAAAAAACATCTACTTCTGCTTCAATGACTATGCTAAAGCCTTTGACTATTGTGGATCACAAAAAAATGTGGAAAATTCTTAAAGAGATGAGAATACCAGAGCACCTTACCTGCCTCCTGAGAAACTTTTATGCAGGACAAGCAGCAACAATTAGAACTGGACATGGAACAACGGACTGGTTCCAGGTTGGGAAAGGAGTACATCAAGCCTGTATATTGTCACTCTGCTTATTTAACTTGTACATCATGCAAAATGCCAGAATGGATAATCACAAGCTGGATTCAAGATTGCCATGAGAAATATCAATAACCTCAGACATGCAGATGACACCCCCCTAATGGCAGAAAGTGAAGAGGAACTAAAGAGTCCCTTGATGGAGGTGAAAGAGGAGAGTGAAAAAGCTGGCTTAAAACTCAAAATTCAAAAAATTAAGATCATGGCATCTGCTCCCATCACTTTATGGCAAATAGATGGGGGAAACAATGGGAACAGTGACAGACTTTCTTTTCTTGGGCTACAAAGTCATTGAGAATGGGTGATTGCAGTCATGAAATTAACAGACACCTGCTTCCTGGAAGAAAAGCTAGGAAAAACCTAGACAGCATATTAAAAAGCAGAGACATCACTCTTTTGACAAAGGTCCATCTAGTCAAAGCTATGGTTTTTCCACTAGTCATGGATGGGTGTGAGAATTTGGACCATAAAGAAGGCTGAACTACAAAGAAATGATGCTTTTGAAATGTGGTGCTGGAGAAGACTCTTGAGAGTCCCTTGGACAACAAGGAGATCAAACCAGTCAATCCTAAAGGAAATCAACCCTGAATATCATTGGAAGGACTGATATTGAAGCTGA